TCTTGGCTGGTCTGGAGTTCAGTGCGGTGCCAAAGGAGCCTCAATGAAATTTATAACCATAATTTTTACAAAATGCCATTAAGTTGCGATAGCAGAGAGTGGCAATGCTCCACCACTGCAAACGATGGGAAGGGCAGAGCAAACAAACAACTTTGAATTTACCACATACTTACATACAGATGTATGTGCATTTGCATTACAAACACATGTAGATTATATGTGCGCACACACACACACACACACACCCTCTCATGCACTGCCAGTTGGTCCAAAGTTTAATGAGGAGTGCAGCAGTCAGTCTATTCACTATCCTTCCGTTTTATTAGTACTTTTTAAGGAAACCCAAAGAGCATACATTTGAGTAAGCGAGTAGTAGCAAGATTTAGTGGTTGCTGTGTTCAGTGTGTACACAATTTCCAATTGTACCAGGATCGGGATGTTACCAGCCAGGAGATAGTTGGACATACGGACAAAGTACACATTCACATTTGCATATTAATTCGCGTTCGCTTACACACACACACACACTGTATATACTTTACGACAATAACGACCGCTGAGTTATATCAAGGGTTGCCAAACGTGTATAAATTTGAAAAGTAATGTTTCAACTTTTGGTGTTGAATTGTTCCAGAACCTGCCAGAATCTACTAGTTTGCTATTTTCCCGATATCATATACGAAAAATCGGTTATCGTAGTAAAAACTTTTACATTCTTGCAGTTCTGGAACAGACCAAATGTAAAAAATATAGATGAAGAAATTAAATTGTTTATCATTTATTGGCAATGTCACATTTTAAGCAGCAATTAATAGAAAATATGCCAAACGTTGTGTATGTGACATTTAAATGCAATTCTGAATTAGGACATTTCGCCATGAGTGCATGCCACATTACCGAAAATCCAATTAAAGATTACTTGGGTTAGATGGCAATCCTGCCCCTGGTGTCTGTACTTCTGCTCTTCTCTGGGCTCCACTATCTCCCTGTTCGTCTCCAAAAGTTTTCCCAGATAATAAATGACCCGCCATTAAATTGCAATTAAAAGCTCATATGTGCCCATAAACTGCTGCGAAACGTTAATTTTTCGAAATGTTGTTGCTATTCTTGGCATTTACACTATGTACAATTGTCTTAGTTTGTATGGGTGTATACATGCACAAATCGATTGGGTCTAAGAGAATAGCGGCCTGAACAGAGGAAGGATGATGTCAACGGGAAGACTTCAAATGTATTGCATTGAAGGGGGCACGGATGGATTCGGATTCATGAACTTTTATAGTCCAATCCTCGATAGTCCAAAATATATTTAACGACAGTAAATGCTGTTATATAAAAAATACATTTTGTAGGGTGTGACCCATATAAATTCATGTATGTATGTATGTATGTAGGTAGGTGTCCACTTAGAGTTTCAAAATCCAATGCAATCTCACCGCTTGTATTCATTTCAAGAAATAAAAGCATTGGAAATAGCCTATGAACACACATGTGACATGTATGTGTGTCTGTATACTCGCATGTAAATGTGGCCATATGACCATTTGGCCATGCAGTAACAAAGTGTTGTAATCAAAAGGATACATGTAGCGGAAACTTGAATAATGGTCACATTTAAAACTCCCTCGGCCATAATGCATTGCGGGAACATTAGGCCGAACTGAAGATAGGAAAAAAAAACAGAATATGTAGTATTGCATTTTTCAATGTGGTACGGAATCGCTCAATGCCATATATTTTGATAGTTTTCACAAAATGTTGGTATCACAGGAACATAGATCTTTGAACTTTTTTAATTTTTTTTTATCAAAACAAGATTTATTTTCGGCATATGCCCCATTAAATGCTACCGACGATTACCGAGAGCATTGTTCGAAAATTGTCTTTGTTTCGGTTTTTCAAGATCTGAATGTAAATCCCAATTTCTTATCAAAAACATGATAAGGGCAGTTAAAAAATCAGGGTAGTGGAAAATTAAAAAACGCACGAAGCGAGCCAACTCATAACATCAAGTATAATATTTTTGCAGATCGTCCTAATGTACAGTTGCACAAAAAAAAGCGACAGCTATTTAACCAACACAAACCAAAAAGATGTTGTTAATGCATTTTAATAATAAATTGTCATTTTACTTATTATTTCGAATGGCCCTTAGTCGTAAATGCCAAAAGGGTACGCAAATAAAGAAAATGCAATTCATAAGAGGTTTTTTTGTAGAGGCATCAATTAGTCAACAATTTCACAACCCCCTTAGGTATTCCCAATAATGTGAAGGAATGTACTACAGGGGATATTTGGAGATTAGATTACATCGAAAATGCATAATATATTAGAATAACCTTACAAATGTGTAATAAATAATCTATATTTATCAGATGTCATAGAAGAATCTGAGGAAAATATGCAAACATGAATCTATAGATAAAATTCTTCTGAAAAACATTTGAAATCTAGAGATATCTTAGGTCTGAATTCGCCTCCTTAATACCCATTTTGAATATGGGACAATGTTATTTCACTTCACTCCAAAAAAAAAATAAAGCGACAACAATTTCTTAGCAAATTCAGAAAATAAACATTAAAGACCACATTACACATCAGCTAAAGAATAAATGCGAATTTTTCCAAATTTATCTATCATATTTGTATAGCACACTTTTAGGCGCCTTATAATATAAATGATTGTATGTTTGTAGTAGTTTTATATAGAATATAGTAAAAATTTAAAAATTGTTAAATATAAAATGGGCAAAGGTTTACATTATGTGTCAACTCACCCTAATAGAACATATCACGAAATATAATTTCAAAATCTCCATCGTTTCTACCGATCCACAAGTTTTATATATCAGCACGTATTTGACCGAAATAAACCGCATTAAAACTAGCCAATAGAAACGCAAATATTACGCCAAATTAAATCTTAATTCCAACATCATTACCCTCACTCCCACTTCTGTTTTCTCAGCTTCTTATCGAAACATACACACGCACAAGCAAAGACGGAAAACTTGAGCAAATAACCGAAAAGCGATATTCCTCAAAGATAACAGAACGGGAACGCGAAATAAATCTCTGGTGTATTCCAGCAATGCTTTATTCTGCCAATTCTGCTGGACGAACAGACAAGCCTGCTGTTAATCTGGCACAGATCTTGTGTTGTTTACCAGACGCCGAAAATGAAGCACTGCTACGACAACTAGCAACTAAAGCCATTCCAGCTCTTATTAATATCTCGTTGTAGTCCTATTACTCGCATGTATTTGTTTTAGCGCTAATTACGAATCTGTTTGCTGTCAGGAGCTTCGGGGTGGGGAATTAAGCTCCCCGACAGCAGCACACCCACCATAGAAAGCAGACGACTGATGGAAACGATTTTTCGATAGCAGTCTGATGTCAGTGTCGACTTAAAGATTATGTGCCAAGATTCCGTAAATAGCACAAGTGCTGCGTTCTAAGCAGATATTCACAGCAATTAAACGGTGTTATGGCGACAGCAAGGAAACCGCTTTTACTACTGGGACAAACAGCCAGCGTGAAGAATTTAATGTGATGTAAAAATAATTGAAATTAAAGTCTTTGCCTGATGTTAGAGGGAGAATCTAGTATTTGCAAAATTAATATTTGCGTCCAGACCAAAAGGCGAAGACAAAAAGATATGCAACGTTGTGTGGAATTGGTTCCATGTAAAGCAATAACTTCCCTGGCTAATTTGAATGTGTTCAGGGGAAGTCGAGAAACCTCTGAAATTTTCACAGGAAATATGCCATGGCATATTTTTTATTCAAAATTTCGGTTCAAGTATCTGCAAAAAAAATCTATCGAAGGTTGAATGTAAGGAATCTGTTCTTAATGTTTTTTTCGCTGTAATTCGCCATAATCCCAGAATCGTAAGCGCAATAAGATTCAAGGCATATGATGCCTTTGTAGTACGATTCGACATAATCGGAACGTAGTCAATTAAACACCAGTGTTCAGCATCAGAACTTTCTCGCCTTCAGTCATCTCTACGTACCTAACTGCCAACCTTAACTCACTGTGGCACCAACAAGAAACAACATAAATACATACAAACATGTTCGGCATCTTCGGAACGTAAAGTTTAATAACACAACAACTTTTTAAACAGACAGTAACGTAAAAAAAAAACAACAAGAAAAATTCCTTGGAAGTTGTTTCCCTTCCACCAACCCCCAATGCTGTGCAGTGATAGTAACTGAAAATTGTTGTCTATGATGACCTCCGGCCTAAGTTACCTCCACCACCATCTACCTCACTGGCCCCTTCTCCTTTAAACAAGAAATAGGACATGAACTGAAAAGAAGAAAAACAAGCAAGAGAAAAATCTGAAAAATACAAAGACGGCGACTAAATAATAATAAACTCCACTCGTACTTTCACCGCTACTACAGAACAGTTCAGTGGCATGGCCTCCAAACAGCAGCCAAAGCACAACATCATTGTCGGACTGGACGCAGCCCAAAATGGCGAGGATGAAAAGTCAAATCTTGGCTACAACCCTGGTGGGCGAGTGAAAAAACATTGTGTTTTACAAGATAAGCGGAAACTAGCCAAGATGGAATTAATTTTCCGCTTTGAACAAACAAGCGGAAGTAAATAAGTAAGAATAAGGACTGGCTCCTACGAAAACAAACAGCAAACCCTGGAAGGGATCTTTGGTGTGGCAGACGGCATTCGCTGTACGGTGGGAGGGGTGACTAAACTGAATAAGGCTAAATACAAATGACAATATGGGAGTCCATTCGTTGGAGAGGAACGTGTAAATAGAGTAATTGTGTGTTTAGAAGCACATCGCGGTCATGGCTATTTTGCTATTTTGGCCAACCGTTTTCGGGGAATACCATCCTCAAGATACCACGTTCTTCATAAATCATATTTAGATAAAAATAGCCTCTGCGACAGTTGTATATTCTTAAAGATGTTACATGTGGTGGGAAAGGGGAAGGGGGAGAAACTAATTAAAACCTTTCAACACCAAGTTTTTTTTAACAAAATATTTTATTAACTTCCTAAAAAAGCGGAATGTTTTTTGTGCTGTACAAAATGTTGCTATCCTCCATTTTCCCAACTTCATTCGTTATTCGTTGTTGCAACTGCGGATTCATTGTCATTGTGCGTTTGTTGCCGTTTTATCCAACAGAGAATGTTAACCCAGACAAAGCCACAAACACCCATGTACATGACACGGAATCGCGGAGCTATCAGGACAAAATTGAACAACTGTGCTGGCAACCAGAACATGCAGGACCGTTCGAATGTTGGCAAAAACTTTTGTCTTAATTCGAGGAACTTATCATCGGCACCTTCCATTATAGCCATTCCTATAAAAAGAAAGGGGATGGAAGGGATAATAAATGTCCACTCCGACATTACATAAAAAATTTAGATCTTACCCGTATAGAAGACTGTCAGCAAGTACGGCGTCAACACAAACTGATCCACAAATAATTTTTTGATAATAACTTTCTTCGCTGTTCCAGGAAAAGTGCGATCCAACCATTTGTACCTTCAAAACGTGATAAAAAAATTAGTCGAACTCAAGTTATTGAAAAATGCGAAAGTAGTGCATAATAATAATAATGGTGCAGCATTCATTGTGTGTATGTGCGTTTTTATGTATGAGTGTGCTAGTTACGTTCATTCAATGCATTCAGATCCTTATACCCAACGAACACTAGCGAGATGGGAGATGATAATTGCCATATACTCGAAAGGAATAACCATGGTTCAATTATTTCAAGGTAACCTTATCTCAAATAACAATATCCGGATCTGCATTTTTTTCAAGTTTAGTCAAATTTAGTCTCATAGAAAAATGGTAACCATCTCTGATTTGAAAATGTACTTTTGGCAATAAAATAATTTTAAGTAAATTGAAAACATATAATTGCTCAAAGTCACCTTGATAATTCTACCATTGAGACAATCTTGATTATAATCTCAGTACGTAAACGAATTTTGATATTTCGTCTAATTTCGAAAATCTGATGGAGATCCTTATAACGCGCCATGGAAACAACCAAATTGGAGATTAACCGACCAATGTTACAATTCACCAATCTTAATTTTTGAGTATTTCAGCGCATTATTTCGTAACAATTTTAAAGATATTGGCAATCTCCTTTGTTTGGTATAGTTGGTTGGATATAAGAAATCATGTGTATATATGTACATACATTCCATTGGTTTATGTGCAGACGGTACGTTAAGAGTATTGGATTTGAAATATTTGTGCATAATATTATTATGCACCTTATCCTTAATTCTGAAAAGTAAATCCCGCTCAAATTCACAGATCTTCATATTGGTAAAATCTAAACAAAACTATTCTACAATGTTTTTCTTAATTCTAAGAGCTTAAAAAGAGTTTAAAGTCTCCCTTGATAATGTTTTATATGTACGGTATTTGTTTCTTTATACCATATGCCAAAGCATGCCAGAAAAAAATGTTAGTTTGTATATGTGTTTTTTTTTTTAATAGAGTTGGAGGTTAGGCAATAATAGAATCTATTAAGTTGGCAGAACTTTTAAAATAGGAATAGATCCGATTAAAATTTCAAAATGTCACAACATTCAAACAACCTAAAATTGATAGGAACTGCTATATGGGCAAATACGCGAAGCTGTATCGAAAACTATATCTACACAAATATTATGGCCTCAACAAAAAGCAAAGCATAGTTAAATCTTTGCTAATCGCGAAAATCTAAAATTGAAGGGGTCTCCGACGAATGCTTCAAGATATGGCAAATTTACTACGTTCTCCATGTTATGGTGAGGAACTTTTAAGGAGTTTAAATGAAACAAACAAATATACTATAATTTTGTTATCAGCCAAAAGTATGTATAAGAGTTTTCGTTTAGATTACTACAGAAATCTAATATCTTAGTTCAAATTTTCCACTGTGCCTTGCGGTTGGCACGTGTAACTGTTGGTGCCGGTAGAATGTAAATAACAGTAAACTTGCCTTGTCAAAACTTGAAGAGAGCTTTTTATGTCATCCACGAAACATGAAAACGAGACAAACTGAGAGAGACAAGAGAGGACGAACAACAGTGGTGCATAATGTTAATAACAGCAATGAGCTTGTGATGTTTGTAAAAGATACTAACTAATATGAACGTACGTACGTACGTGTGTGCTTGTTTATTTATTTCCGTATAACACATAGGTACACACTATGCATACGTATATACGTATGTACTACTATTGTGCTCTAATCTGGACTGTTTTATTACTCTTATTAAATGTGTTTGTTGGGAGAACGAATGTAGGGTGCGAATTAACTATAAGACACTTATCAAAACAAATGAATTAAATGCAATCGGGTGAGTAGCGAGCGTGCGAAGCCAAATCAATCTGTGAACAAACCATTGGTAGAGTGTTGGAGCATAAATAACTGTTCCCATTACAGCATACCGACCTATGGTTGGATAATCAATGTCCTCTTTCAATGAGTCGTTCTCAACCTAAATTGTTTTGTTTTTGTTGTGGTGAAGGAATTCGCATAATTTGATACGAAATTCAAGATTAATGGAAGTAGTTATGTGGTTCGAATTTCCCAAAAGAGACAAAGTGTGTGTTAGTGTTTGTTGTGAAGACTAAAATCCGTTTTCCTGCAGACAACCGATGCTGCATTGAAACGAAAACTTACCAGAACTTTTTTGGTCAGAAACTGTTGTGACATTTCGGCTCCCACATAAAGACTTCCATAGACGGCACTGTTGGTTATAAACGGGTGTTTTTTAAAGAGAGTTCCCATCGCATTCAGCAATCGAGCCATTTTGGAGGTAGAGTTGCTGGTTCTGTTTTTTGTTTTTTTTTTTCGTAAAATAAATTATCGGAAAAGAAATATATTCCAAGCAAGGGCACTCACTCTACTGTTACTGTTGCTACTTTAATCAACGAAATGAAGATGATTGTGCCCTCCTCATGTGGAAGCAATCACAACAATTTATTGGGTTTGACAATGAACAACCTCAGCATTTGGGATGTGGGGACGCAAATGCGGGGCATAGATAAAACCACTTATTGGGCTGTTGTTCTATCTGGCAATACCGTATTGATAACGGGAATTGTTGTCATATGGCAAAGAGTTGCCAATTAGCAAGCAAATGGCAATGCCTTGTGATTGGCTGTTTGATTGCAGACGAACTGAATTTCCGAAACCTACTTTAAATCTTAGTAATTAAGAACGAACTAACATAACTAAAGCGGTATTTCTTGTAATTCTCTGCTTGAATATGAAGTTTTACCCAGGCTAAAGTGAAAAGTCGAAAATGACTTTCAAACTCAAGAGGAACATTTTTAGTGAGAGCATGTCGTTGTCTATATATTTATTTGCCTACCGTGTTTCAAATTTTAAGAAAATTGTTCGATTAGGAATGCGAGTATATTATCCCTCATTTTCTAGCGAAAACTAAAGTGTTTACACATTGCCACCTTCGAATTACTATCCGCATACACGCATGGATTTTCCAATTCTCATAAAGAGATTTAAGCAAGCCCATGTATGCTGCGGATTTAATGTTTTGTATTCGTATTTGTTTCAGGTAGAGAATTTCGCGTAAGTGTTTATCATATAAATAGTCTGTCCGGTGTCATAATGCGTATAGTCCCTCACAAACATCCTCTGAAATAACATACCTCAGCACAGGTCAACATATTCTGCGACATGATGGAACAAACAATAATTGCACAACTCTTAATAAAGAATTTGCAAAAATTGCACTTGAAAGATTGTGCATTTAGTACAATGGCCGACCTGTATGCAACACTTCCTTCCGAATCACCAACAGTTGCTCCGGGTACGCCCAGATCGGCGCCAGCCAACTCAACGGAAATGAGGAAAAGGCGTAAACACCAAGTGCGCATAAATCCATACACATCGAAATCATCCGTCAAAGCTAGGAAGTCGCTGCAATTTTAAAAGCAATTATTTTCTAGAACCACTATTCATCACTGTAATATATATGTATATATTTGAAAATGCAAAGAAGCATAGCTTGTTTGTTTTTAGTTAATTATTTTATAAGTTCATCTTAAATAAAAACATATTTGAATCCCCAAAAATAACCTCGTTTTTATCAGTGTAAACACTTTGTTATGCATGTATTTCAAAGATTACAAACCTCAAAGAAAATTACATTTATAAATGGCGGAAACTGACTTGCGATTTATCATCGCCCAGACGGAAGGGCTGAAGGTAGAATCTTAAAATTTCGGGAGAGGGTCACTTTTGTTCCAAAGGGGTCAGCCAAGGCTGTGTTTTGAAAATTCGTGCGAAAAGTATTGAAAGGAACTGTATGGTGTAGGTAGATATGGAAATTTATACTAAAGTGTACTAAATGGTACTAAATTGGATATTGAATGGTGTACTGGTATACTGAAAATTGGAAATAAGATTACTGTCGGAGTTTAGAATTAGAATATGTATGTAGTTTTGGAAATTCGTACTTATATGTACTAAATATGGTGTAGAATTTGAACATGAAGTTAATTTTCGAAATGTGTACTGCATGGTTCTAGATTTGTTAAAATTTGTATTTGGGCGAAGCGATTGGAATCCTGAAATTGGAAATTGGTATTACTGTGGGAGTACAGGATTGGGGTATGTAGGAAGCTTTTGTGTACTAAATAGCACTAAATTTACAACAATCTGGATTTGAGTTAGCCGATAGAGCTGGTATCCTAAAATTCGGTAATGAGATATCTAAGGTACTGTACGAAAGAAGTATGAAAGAATTTTTGGAAATTTGGAGTATAGGATTGGGGTATGTAGGAAGTTTTATAAATTCGTAATTATGTGTATTAATTTGGAAGAGCTGGAATTCCAAAATTTTATGTTAAGGTCATTGTTGCCGTCTGTTGTTTAGATGTGGAGGTGGTTTTGGAAATGTGTACTATAATAGTTCAAAATGTACTAAGTGTTACTAAATTTGGTATTGGATGAGCAGATAGAGCTGAAATCGGGAAATTTGATATAGATTTCACTGTTGGTGTTTGTGGTTTTGATTTGAAAGTGGGTTTGAAAATGTGCACTTTAATTGTTCGAAAAGTACTAAGTGATACTAAATGTGGTATTGGGAACGCGTTCTGTAATTATTCGAAAAGTACTAAATGGTATTTATTATGAATCACTGATGGTTTCTACGATGGAGAGATGTAGATTGTTTTAGATATCCGTACTAAATGTTGCTAAATTTTTTATTGGGTGAAGGAATAAAGCTGAAATTCTAAAAGGTAGTCGAATGCTTTGTAAACACCCTTAAGCCCCCGTCCATACACCAATAATTCCGTTGGTCGAGTCTCGTGAAATTTTAGGTTTTTAATGTACAATAGTTTCTTATAATCCTTAATGTTTTCGTCATTCGGCTCTGTAGCTCCTGCCAAACATTTACATCGCTTGTTTAACTAATGCATCAGCACCTACGAGTCATCAGCATCCATTCCCGCAACAAACATAGCAACCAATTCAAGTTGAATGAAGCGATGGCGCGCAATCTTTAAATACGCATAATTCCATTTGCACTGAAATGAATAGTAGTCAATGTAGTTCTAAATTCTGATATAGTCCCAATATAATTGTGCCTCCACATATTCGGTATTTTGATGATTTATATCACACTATTCACCGGAAATGATTCAAACTGAAAAATTGAAGTTTCTAATGGGTACTTAATCCTATGACATTGCACATATAGTTCCACGCCTTCGTATAGGTAACTTTTGTATTCGGTTGTTGATGATTTTCACCGGAATTGTTTCAAGTTTCGTAATTTAAGTTCGTAATGGCCTGTGAGGAAAAATACATTAGATAAAGGATAGAAACCATGTAAAATAGTTATTGCACATTCGAATGGTGAAAAAGGACAATATGAAAACTCGCAACACAGGATGGAGATCATATTCCAGGTGTAAAAATAATAAAATTGCACAATATATCGCGTGGCTCTGTTCTTGCATCTACCTGCCGCCATATTGAGTCGCTAACAGGAATGTATGGATTTACAATTTCCTCGGATCAGCATATGCAAATGTCGTTATGTATACCTCTTTTATAGCCGCAATAAAAATAGATTAGGAAAACATCTGCCACTAGTGTCAAATAGGAAGAATATTCCCAGAGAGATGTCTCGAAATTCGACGCCATTGGCAATTGTTCGCTAACTTTGACATCAGGTAGTCGCTTGGCATTGGCAAATGTGTTTAACGGAAGCTACTATAAATAATTTGCAAGTAGTTAGCGTTTGCATAGTTCCTTACAAGCTTCCTCACTAATAACATTACCTCCTGCAGGTCAAAATATTAAGAAAAGAGAAAATGGAAAACACAATGATTGCACAACTCTTGGTTAAGAATTTGCAAAAACTGCACTTAAAAGATTGTGTGTTTATCACAATGGATGACCTGTACGCAACACTTCCTTCCGAATCATCAGCAACTACTCCTGGAATGGCAAAATCGGCACCATCCGATTCGACCGGTTTGAAGAAAAGGCGCAAACACCAAGTTCGCATAACACCGTATACACCAAAATCATCAATCAAGGCTCGGAAATCTCTGCAATTTTAGAGAATATGTTGGACAACATTTAGTTTTAAATCTATTTATTATCCCCCGAAAATTATGAAGCATGGCTTCCATTAGGTCTACGTTTAAGTTCAACTTAACTAAATAAATTTTAAAGTACCAGAAATTATATTACTCGTTTATCTCTCTGAATAATTGGTCAATAAAGGTAGGAACATAAGCTTGCAATAGGAACGGTTTACCATTTGATGGGTGTATTTAAAGATTAAATGCTAAATCATATAAATAAGTTTGTCTGGTACAAAGAACGCCTCCAAAATGTGCCTACAATTTGGCTTATTTATTTTATACAATTCTCCTTGGAAATGAGGTTCTGTTAAATTTGTCAAATATTGATCGGAGAACCTGTAGAGTATATATTCCTGATCAGCATTGAATTCTATGTCGTTGACCCCATGTCCGCTTAGCCCATATTATGTGACATTAAATTTGACACATAGTTTACATTGCGTCTAGGATGGTTTGCATTGAAGATAAGGTATGTGGGTCCTCGTTTTCATGTAGACCCTATGTTTCAGTACCTCCCTATATTTATTTAATTATTTATTTACGGTGGGAAAAAATTATGTATATTGACCAATAGTTTCCTGTTCCGCCAAATATTCGGCATTTTGATGATTTAAGTAACATTTTTCGATGGAATTTATTCAAATTTAGTACTTGAAACTTATAATAGATAACAACTTCTGTAGTAGAATAATTGTATATGTAGATAACCCAATCTACAGTACAGATATAGAAAGTTGGACCGAACCTAACGTTTTTTGCTCGTTTTATATTAAATTTTAAAAGTTTATCCAAGATTTTAAAAATGTAATTTAGAAATGTTTTTGTATCAATATTATATTATTATATAATATTTGCTTTAAAACGAGGAAATCAAGCTCAAATTGAAATATTTTACAACTTGGTTGAGTTTGGACACACACCGGGTGGATGATATTTAAATGTATTTTGAAGTTGAAAGAAAGTTTAAAGGTGAGGGTACATAAGCAGTTTGACATCATGGCTTGGCATTTGATGGTAGAATTTGAGTGCGCCTGTAGCATCAGGCTCATGTACCCACACCTTAACATACCCTTTTATTGTAAATTTGATATTCTCAAATTCTTTTCCGTGGAAAAATATCAGTTTGCTAAAACATCACCACGTATTTCTTATAATCTTTTAGTATTACACTAAACTGATGAAAGAAGAAACTGTAGCTTTCTTTTGTCTGATTTTTAGATTATTCGAACTAGACGTGTGCCAAGGTCTAATTCTAATTTGAAGAATTTACCCGAATTTATTAGTTGGGGAAGCCATAAAATTGCAATTAATACACTCTTATATATGTGTGATAAAGTTATATTGCATTTGAAAATACGACGCTGTGTTAGAGCTTACGACATTGTTGGGAAATAAGTTAGTTCTCCTGAATTATAATTTCTTTAAAGTACTGTTTTCGAATAACATAATTTTTGTTTTTCCTGCAATTTTCATACATGTCAGGGTTGCTAGTTTTATAGTACAGTAGTAAATGTAATCGATTCTTGCACATAGCGAAAGTTCGAATGATGAAAAGCGGAAGATCATTTACCAGGCGTAGAAACAATAAAATTGCACAATTTACCGAATGGCTCTGTTGTTGCATCTACCTGCCGTCATATTGAATCGCTAACAGGAATCTGTGGATTTACAATTTCCTCTGACGTCCTGAGCAGTATATGCAAATGTCGTTAAGTACACGTCTTTTATATCCGTAATAAAGAGAGATTTGGAAAACATCTGCCACTAATGTCAAATAGGAAGAATTTTTCCAAGCTGTGAGATGGTATAACCTTTTTCCTGAAATTGGAAATTGTTCGTTAACGTTGATATCAGGTAGTCGCTTGGCATTGGCAAATGTGTTTAACGGAAGCTACTATAAATAATTTGCAAGTAGTTAGCGTGTGCATAGTTCCTTACAAGCTTTCTCACTAATAACATTACCTCCTGCAGGTCAAAATATCAAAAAAAAAAGAGAAAATGGAAAACACAATGATTGCACAACTCTTGGTTAAGAATTTGCAAAAACTGACTTAAAAGATTGTGTGTTTAGCACAATGGATGACCTGTACGCAACACTTCCTTCCGAATCATCAGCAACTACTCCTGGAATGGCAAAGTCGACACCATACGATTCGACCGGACTGAAGAAAAGGCGCAAACACCAAGTTCGCATAACACCGTATACACCAAAATCATCAATCAAGGCTCGGAAATCTCTGCAATTTTAGAGAATATCTTGGACGACATTTAGTTTTAAGTCTATTTATTATCCCCCGAAAATTATGAAGCATGGCTTCCATTATATCTCGTTTTAAGTTCAACTTACCTTAATACATTTTAAAGTACTAAATATTTTATTATTTGTTTATCTTTCTCAATAATTGGACAATAAAGTAAAACATTTAGTGTCAAGAAACAAAACTATACACCATACCATACCTTAGACAAATAGTTGGTATTTACCTAAATTTAATAGAATATTGGAAGGCCATAAAAATTGGATTTAATACGTTCCTGTTGGCCACCTTTATAATCCCTTATGTACGTGTATGTTGGAGTATATTTGCAGATGTTTAGTGTAATCATCAGGTTGTTGCAATTTTATAAGTTAACATATATTTACCTGTAACCAAAATTGCATTCGTGTAAATAGTACACGATTTGCTCTTTTTGAAGGATAAAATGTGTGTCATAAATGTACCTTAGCATTAATTCGTATTCCAACATCACCGAGGACGATGTGGTTAGATTTTTTACCTATTCTAAAAGAAATTATAGAGAAACATCTATCCGTAAAATATATGCATATGAATGTGTTCAATTCGAGGGAACCCATAATATGTAACCAGAAATATGATATATGTTACGAAAACCTTAATCTTAAATATAATCACAGAACCATGAATTTGTTTCGTTTTTCTTATTAACACACACCTAGGAGTAACTTATTTCCTGTAAAATATACAAATGTTACAAAAAGATGACTGATAAAAGGCTGCCTTTAAAAAAGTTGAAGACTTAACTATTTTACAATATTTAGCGAAAACATTAGGCTATGTCTGATCAGCAATTTTTATCGTCCTCTCAAGAACCGAAACCTAAGAACCGAAAACATATTTATTTATATTCTTGCATTGCATTTTCAACAAAGATTATCCACAATAATTATAAAACGGCATACGCATACATTTGGTAGGAATATTTTAAGATGTATATTCCACCATGAAAATACAACAATAACACCTAATCTGTCCATATTATTGTAAACATATTTTAAACTTGTTACTGCGGTTTAATTTTTGTGTTTTCTTATTTTCCTTTTCATTACAGTTTTTTCTATAATTACATTATGACACGATCCCGCTCTAGGGCGTAGTACCATTAGATATGCGCGAAATGTAATAAATTTTGAAGGGACATTACCCAAGGAATTGCTATAATTTCGTTAATGTTCGACACAAAAAATATTGAAATATTCGTACAAATTACTATAACAAGAACATAATCAAAGAAAAACAAAAACAATTACAAAAGTATAAAAATAGAAAAACCTATAGGGCTTCGAATAACAAATAAAATAGCATTAAACCATTTTTTTAACAATTTTGTGTCATCTACAATTATGCATATTTCAATAAAAAATAATTTGATTTAAAATAAATCGTTACGGGCCTGTCTTCTTATAGATTAAATTAAATTTAGAACTTATAATTAAAAATTAACACAAATATCACACAATTTAAAGGCTTTTGGTGATGTTATTGAACAAACGACGACCCCACCATGACTCCAGATCGAATGGTTTAAAGTCACTTAGAACAGGACTAGGAGGTTCAACGCAGTACAATGAGGAAGCAGTTTGGGATGGACTTGTAGATGATTTTATAAGAGAAGCAGCTAAATGGAATAAAAATAAATTTGATTAGTAAAGAAATAGAAAATAATGTTGATTAGTTAACGTACCAGTAGTGTTGTTATTAGCATCGATTGTAACAGCATTGGTATTTTTGGGAGATCTATCATAAGGATTTTGTGCAACTACAATGTTCCAAGCTGAAAAAATGTTCAAAACAAGTTATATCAGACGAGCATACTTCAAAAATATTTTTACTTACAGTCATTTATATATTTGATGATTTCCTCGTGTTGTGGCGTCAATACCTCTTCCTCTACAAGTTTTGGATGGCTGCAAATCTTCTTCGTTTGAAATACAGGCTTTGGTACACTAAAAGGCAAAACACATTTAAACTATAAATAAGTAATCACAGATTGTCAACGAAAACATTTGTTGCCATGAGAATAAGTCTGAAACTAAAAACACACAACAGTGTACAGATTATCAATGTGAAAAATGATTGATTGACAGCCAAAACATGAAAAACCTTCATCCATTGAAAAGTCGCCACAAATAGACAACTTTTCTCTTATCGGCTTGCTAAAAGAAACACCTATACCTATTAGACTACATTTATTTAGTGATGGTCTGTATACCAAAGATCATTTGAATGTACACAAATAACAAATACAACGACAACCAGTGATTGGTTGACAAAAGAAAATCGAGAAAATTGCTTTCCTCTAAACATGTCCAAGATTTAGCCGCAACCACGTGCTTCGAGATTGAATCATTTGATTTTCACTGTGGCATCGACAATGCAGCACCTCAGTTGTTTGATTAAGTAATTAGCAACAAATGTTTTTGTTAGTGGGGAATCGTCGACAATGTTCTTTGTTGCAACTGGCAACAAGTGCAATCACCTTACCTTAAATTCTCCGGACTGCTTGCATCATTGTTGCGTCGTCCGCTCTCCTTAATGGTTTCGAATTTTTCGAAGTTTTGAGATATTCCTGCAAGGAAACCGTAAAAGCATTTAAAAATTTCAACTCAATATTTATAATAACAGTAGTTAAATACTATTTCAAAATAACCGCCCAATTGTAAACAAATCGACCGGCGTATTTCTCTTAACTGTCTCTCTTCTCTCTGCACTCTTCAATGTTCTTGTTTGAATAACGATTTGACTTTTATGTGTGTGACATAACAATTCAAAGGCCCGAAACGACGTTGTTAAGGGCAATGGAAACAAAATAAAACATCCTCTTTGCACTTATTCCTCCACAAAGGGACGAATGCAACCTACCTCTACGAGTTTTGGCCACAATTTTACTGGGACCCTTGGAGATTGTATACATCTTCTAGCTATAGGAACCTTTATGCAGTTTTTGTATGTCGTGTTTTGCGTGTTTTGTATATTTTTCGAGTTGATATTTATAACAATAATAGTATTTATTTATACAGTTAACACTCTTAGGCGAAAGGAAAGTCTAGCACTTCACTATCAAAATATAAATTTATATAACAAACAAAAGTAACGTGTACGAGCTGCCAGAAGAAGACGTAATGTCCATGCCACTTTCCTTCCTGAGTTGAAACCAAAATAAAATACGTCCCCGACGAAACAAATTAGAAGGCAAAAAAGAACGCCCGATAAAAATAAAAAGAAAGCAAAATCCCCGAATGCCTCTGTTGTTTACGGACGAGAGCAACGCGTAACGCCGACTACCCCTCTGTTGTTTACGAACGAGTCATAGGGAAAACGCAATCAGCTGGAAATATTCTGCATGCAAAGCGAGTGGTTGACATTATAAAATTTTTTGTTCTAATTTAACTGGCATTTACACAAGACCATGGTAGAATCAAGGAGGTAAAGTCATGCAATCATATGTTTACAATTTGTATTTATAAATCCATTGTACATACACAAATCAGAGATGGGAACTTGTTTTTATGTAGTTAAATGTACCAAGGTAAATTACAGAAAATGCAGAGATGGGAATGCTTATTTGAAATTACTTTACCTTCTTAATTTTACCATGCACAAGACAAGTTATATTTTTTCAGAGTTGTACTTTAAGCCATGATTAAGTTAGAGCTTTTTTCCGGGTTTGCCTTCTTTTTGAAGATTTATTTGAGGTATTTGCAATGCAATTGAAAAGTTAAACCGACAGGGTTTTCTAAATCCCTTGCAAACTGAACATACTATTACTTCCACAAACACACTGGGTCAATTAGATTTCTCTGTGTATGGAGTATGAAGAAAATCAAACGAAAATTTTAAATAATTTAACAAAAGAAAACAAAAAAGGGTTTCATACTTAATATGAAAGTTATTTTTCATAAAAAGTGGAATGATCCCTTACAACATATTATTAAAAATAACACGCAAACACATAAACAGAAAATTTATATGATTTGTCAGAGAAGAGGTAACGAATTATAAATTGTAGTTAAGCGTTTCTATGGCCTACCTTTAAGCCATTGTGCCATATTCGAAATGTAGTAGCAATTAGTTTTATGATCTTGCTAGGTAAAACAAGAATATACCAACTAGGTACCTTTGGATATAATATCTTGCTATAAAAGATAAACAATTTTAATATTAGCTGTCAGTTACGGTAGAACAGCGTACTGAAAATATTAAAATTACGAGATATAGTAAAGATGTTGTCAATTCATTTGATTTTGTTAGCTATTTTGAAAATGTTCTTGTACATCAGAGCAGAAAATTGCAACGAAGATATTTGTGCTTCGGTGGTGTCTAAATGTATTTTAACACAAAGCTGTAAATGCGAAGTGAAAGATGCAACATGTTATCGATCATGTGTAACGTGCATGGGAAAGAAATATTTTGAAGAGTGCTGTGGCTGTATTGGTCTCTGCCCAAATAATCCGAAAGTGTCGCTATCACAAAAATCACACGTTGAAGACTTTGAGGGTGTACCTGAGCTATTCGATGTGCTAGTTTCGTCACCATCGGATGAATTGGAATACAACTGGAATATATTTACATTTCCGGTGGATTTTGACATGGTCCCGTCTAATCGAAAGAAAAAGCCTTCGTTGGAGCACATACAACAGGGTTCACACGTAAACTGCACCGTTGTGTATCTGGACAATTGCGTGTCATGGAATAAATGTCGCCAAACTTGCAGAAGTACTGGTGCTAGCAGTTATCGATGGTTTCACGACGGCTGTTGTGAATGTGTAGGATCAACATGTTTGAACTATGGTGTTAACGAAAGTCGTTGCCGATGTTGTCCTGAAAAAGAGGAAGACCTAGATGCTTTGGACGTAATCGATGATGATTTGTATGACTTTGAAGATTCCGATGGCAATCTAGTTGATAATAACATTTAGTTTACAATAAATAAATTGATTATAAATCACAATAAAATTTAAATGAGGAAAGAACGATACACATGTGCAATTATTAAAGGGTAGCCTTATAAGGATATCACAACTATATGGTATGTTTTGCAACACAAATGTTAAGCGCGCTGTAGTGTCAGCAATTTATTTTGTGTACAAAAGACAAATTTACATGTTCGCCTTTAAGTATCCCAAATGCATAAACGAAAATATCGTTGTAATATCCGTTAGAGCATGGCATATCTTTCAGCTCATCTTTGGTTGGACATCGATCTTCAGAAACCTTGTCTATTTCCGCTCGGTTTCCAGCTGATTGTATTGTCCTCGTGTCTCATTCGTAAACAACAGATGTATTCGTGGATTTTGCTTTCTGTTTATTTTTATCGGACATTACTCTTTGCTTTTTATTTGCTTTGTTGGGACGTCTTTTAATTTGATTCCCACGCAAGAAGGAAGTTGAAATGGACGTTGGAGCATCCTCGTCTGGTGGCACGGAGAATGTTGTTGATGAACTTTCACCCGAGTTTTTACAAAGAAAGTTGTATTTTCTGGTAGACAAATTGAAGGCGATGCAGAACCAATTGCCAGAGTAAGTAGAGTTTACATTTTGCAGCCTCAGAATACGTTTTAAAACGCATGAAAAGGCGGGCCTCCCTCATTTCGAATTCAGGATATTTTATGTTATGTTGCTATAATTTTCGAGTTGAAATGACTCTTTTTAAGTCTTGATTTATGTGTTAGTGAAATGTGAACTTAACGTTTTAAATGTGAATTTGACTCGGTTTGGTATCCGCTGAACTCAATTAGTTTTTTCTTTTGTCAAGAATATACCAATCGCGCATTTCCTATGAACTTCTTACGGAATTGGCCAATTCCCTGCTAAACGATACGATATTTGAAATTGTAAAAGGATTGATGGAAATACAGCACGTAACGGAGAAACACTTGTTCCAACTGCGAGAGCAAGTTCAAAACGAGTACGAAATTGAAGTTCAAGAATGGATATCAAAAATCACCGACCAGGAGGAATTACAACACATTCTACAATTGATGAAAATAAAACATACAAAGAAAATGAAGGAGACCGATATGAAACTGATAGCATTGCTGGATCAAAAGGTAAAAGATCAGCAACTGACACTTCACAAGGCTGGAGTGGCCGGATTCTATGTGACGGACAATCCCAAGGAAATAAAAATACAAATGTTCCTATTAGATTTCATTTTGCGTTTGTCGCGAATAAAATTTGAGCCAAATAAATGATTTTAATTCAAATATGAAACTAGTTTTATTTGAATTTCAAATGCGTGTGAGATTTTTGTGGGACTTTTGTACAGGGATATATACTCCTACAATCACATACATTAGTAGTTATAATTTCAATATACATGGAATTACAGATGGTGACTGAACAATGCTAATTTCCGCCTGTATGATTTCCGAAGTGTCATTTTAACTTTTGCACCTAATAAAGGCTTTATCTTTCAATTTAGTTAAATTTCGTTTATTTTACAGCTAACGTTATATAGGGTCTGATAGAGCACATTCCAATTCAGGTCGTATAATGCATTGCCAATTAAGTCGTAAACCATTTATTCCCAGCGTGTGTATCTAATATCCATAAATTGATGTAAAACCACATTTGTCTAATTTTTATATACCTTTAATAGCATACACAATATACAGTATTAATCATAATAATACTACAATCACAAAATATATTTGGAGAACAAAAGAAAATACATGGTATGATCTTGAACTTATATCTAAACTACATTCTCTCATTTAACATTGGACCTTATAGATAGATAGTGTTTGGGGCCTGTAATACAGTTTTAGGACGTATACTTTCTTAACTTTATATCTAGCTTCCCGCAAGTACCATTCCGGCAGGCGTTCTGTCAGCAGTAGAGTCCTTGGCCTTCGTTCTTTTCCACGTAGTAATTGCAATATTCTTTTTGTGTTGGCGTCAAACCCATGGTGTCAACTTCTGACTTGAATTGTTCAAAACCACCCACACCCGCCAAGTAGCCATTGAGTTTTGTAGCCACATAAGAAGTTTGTAAAAGCTTGGAGTTTAGATTTAGAGTGTCACATAAGTCTCGATGACCTTGCAGGCGATATTTCTGATGGTAACTGTAAAATGGAAAAGAATATTCTAAAAATCACGTTAATCTTAATTTGCAATGGTTAGACGCACTCTTCAGCAGGGTAAAAATTGGTTTTGGCCCGAATTTCTGTTGTAATAACTTCTGGAGACCTTTTAATTTGTTCTTCAATTTTAGATTGCTCAGCTATTGTCTTTTGCTCCTCGTCGTGGTATAAAATCAGTGACATATACTGACGTTTAATAGGCGTAGTTAAGCCATACTCGTGGTTGTTCCAGAACAGATGAAGGAGGTCTTTGAATGAGATCACATTTGGATCGTAGTCTATTTCCAAAACCTCAGTATGGTCACCCCTAAACAATGATATCGTGTTAAAATGCATAGAAAGTTTGTTAGTAAGCAGGATAGTAAGAGAAAGCAAAAGTAATCAGGACGGAGTGGGGAATGAAGAAGGAAGGAGAAACGGAAAATCAATCACAAATTGTTCTTTAGTTTGAACTCACAAATTACGGTACGTTGGTCCTTCCTTAGTGCCTCCGGCATAGCCTACAGTTGTTCGCAGCACTCCTGTTGTGGCTCCATATAAAGATTCTGCGCCCCAAAAACACCCCATACCAAATGTTGCCGTTTTAAAAGCCACACCAAGAGAATGCACCGGACTGATATTAAGCTCTTTCTGTTCATTGCGCACAATACTCTGGAATAATTAAACATTCGTTAATTTAATTCACTTCTTGTTTAGCTCGTTAAGAAACGACAATAAATTACAAATAATTTTATAACACCACTCAAAGAACTTGTATTGCAGTTCTTGAATTCATCGAAAATCCCAATGGAATTGTTTAGAACTTGTATAATAATCGTCAGGAATAGCAGGAATCTCATTTTGTTCAAGAGAATGACAGGCAGTGACGACAGCTCTCAAAATACTGAATAAACTATACAGAGATTGCAGCGTCATTACAAATTTTGCTTAGTTGGAAACCAGGTTCAATGCACGTATGCACACCGACATACCACCAAACAAACACATTGCCCGACGAAAAACAAACAGGCGAACTGGAAAACATGTGTTGCATTTACACAGAGAAAGAACAATCTCTTATTGCAGAGAGCGCCCATGGCATGGAATCTCTTACTTTTTCACAGCGTGTATCTTAAAGGCCAAGGTCATTTTTAAATGATGTGGAATTCGTCAAAGTATTCCTGTTTAAATTACGCTCCGATTTGTTGTCGAATTAGAACAAGAAAATGTATATTTTTTGTTAGATATTACCTTAAAACTTTTGCCATCAAAACGAATTATGCTTAGCAAGTTTTTGAACATTTTTGTTAATTAATAAATACTAGACAAGCAATGATGGTAAAGAGACAAATCAGTTCGACGGAACACTTGCGAACAGAGTGACAATTGGCCACAAACTAGCATTCTAATTAAATCAATTGATGTTGGGTAAAATAAAAGCTTTCTAGCTGTTGACTGTTTGTTGCCAGCTTGTCTACGTAGTACATGTTGGCGGTTGACTTTGAAAACTATGATCGAAATGGGGTTATTAAACTTTTTTGAATAACCCTCAGACTGACGGAAGCAAAATTATGCTTTGGCTTGGTTCAGCTAAGGCTATCGTTGTTTATTCTTACCAAATCCTTTAGAGTTGGTGCATTGATGTCTTCAGGACTAATAGCGATCGACATTTTCACAGTACTCGCACAATGAACTTTAATCTGCTCAGCTTTAAGTTTTCAGTTAAACTGTTGGATGGATTTCTTATTCGCCGGCATTTATACTCGGTGTCTAGTATTTCGTTTATAATGTAAGTTCTCTCAATCAGCGTAAGCGTCGATTGGGAGAGGGAACCTCTAGCCCAGCAGACAAGATTACGTTAATGGTATTTTTGCAAGATTAGGTCGTATAGAAGAATTGTTTTCTTATTTGTAGTATTTTGTTGACATTTGGCCGTTTTTACTTACACTATAGTTGACCTACCTTTCACTAATGTGTAATTACAAATGCAGATCTCCTCATAATTTTACTTCAAAAAACGTGAAATTATATTTGAGTAATATTCATTGAAATAAACCACATTTTATATTGTGTTGTGATGAACTATACGTCCTGATATGTATCCGCATATTATGTATATGCCAATATAGATTTGCAAATCTTATCCTCAAGCTACAATGGCATTTCTCTGAATTTAAATAGGTGGGTATTTATTGGGGAAACCAGATTATTTTGGAACTACATACATGTATACATATCTTGGGATGAAAGTAAATCTAATTGTATTCTTACTGAAACCACATACTTCTTTCCAAGCACTTTTCAAATACCTATTTGGGTTCGCATTGGAAAAAAGCTTGTGCCTCCAAATGAAGGTATTTTATGTATGTGCCTCTTGTTGTTCGTGATCTGCCGATCTGTATACAGAAGAGAAAATGAGAATGTGAGAGAAAAGAAAAGTTGCTTAACCAGCATGTGCTGATATGGCTCTCTAAAAGTAAAAGATGAAACCGCTTGGGTTTAATGTTTTCAATTTGATTGTTTATAAACAATGAAAATTTAAAAGATTTTTGTCAAAAATATTTCTCTATGAAAATGGTGTCCGTTTTCGATGACATTCGGGTCAAAAAACTCCTTGAAACGTCCAGAATCGGATTCAGTTTTAAAAACTAAAATCGGACAGAAATTGAGGCGTAGGCAGAAAATGTTAAATTTCTCGAAAACTGCTTGCAATATTTTCTTGAAATTTGGTCAGGATCAAGATATAGATATATTTCACCATTATACCAGCTTTCAATCGATTCGAAGCAATACTTTAGGCTCCACAATTTTTTTTCAAAAAATTGTTATACGGACTTGTATGTAAACAAAAAATGTTTGTACGTCGAACGGGTGGACCCCAGAGCACGTTAGATATGGTCAGCTGTGAACGCTACGTACATTTGTGTGCTCATCAAAAATTGAATATTTCGTAGACAATAACGCTACGGCGCTCTTTGGTATTGCTTCTTCCTAAAGTTGAATAAGCTTGCTGGTATGTATATGTGTGTTCAGTCATAGGTACCTACGTAGTACGTATATACCTGCTTACATATGTATGTAGTATTTATGTCTGGGCGCATCTTAACAAAGGCATCATTAGCCTCAATGGTGTTGTATTTCCTCTTTGATAATTCGTATTGAATGGGTCCCGATAGGAACGTCGCGTATTTCAGATCTTCCATTATATAGTATATATTATGTGGGTTATTTATATACAGTAATTGAATAATAAATTTGGCAAATCAGCAAATATTTTAGTCGTAGTACCATAGCTGGAGCATTGTTGTTATTTATTCTATAAGTGTTATGAGGCCATGAAATCGCTTTTTTTAATTAAGCCTAATCACTGCATTATTTGCGCAAGTTTTGTCCCGTCAACTAGAATAAATGATTTGACAAAAATGAAAGTATGAACATTGAATTTTTCAAAACGAGATAAAGACTGATGAAATTTACCCTAGAATAGAATCAATGAAGACAACTACTACGCAAAATATGTAGAACTAATTAGAAAAGGTTACGAAACTGATATTAAAATTATTTTTATCAAATTTAATTTTTCAGTAAAAGTGCGCACAGTCTATTTATAACTTTACATTTAAAAGAATTTATCTGCTGCGTGAATTGTGCATATCAAAACGCTGCCCTTTGTCATTGACAACTTATTCTTTTCTTGCGGGATTTAAACTACAATATCTCTTTTCCCAATTGGTACGAATATTTGAAAACAAATTTCAAACTTTTCTTTGCCAGGTTAGGTAGAGCTTGAGGTCTGTTCCAGAACTGCATAAATGTGAAATTTTTTGCTATGATAACCAATTTGCCCTTTATGATATCGAAAAACATTGTAAAAATAGAAGATTCTTGCGGATTCTGGAATAAAGGATTGTATTTTCTTCAATTGTGAACATTTTATAAATAATAGTAAAAAATGGCTTTGGAATATAATATTCGATAAAACATTAAATGAGAAAGATGCGTGTGCTTCGAAATATGAAGTCACACAGTAATTATTCTGATAATGTTATGTCAAGCTCCCACAAAAACCTTAGATTAGAAATATACATACTTTTTTTTAACACCGTAATCTTTTGAATGCTTTACTTACGGATGTCACATATTAGTTTTCTTAGATCGGACTGAATCTTTTCTCCTAACAAATATATATGTAAATGGTTAAGATGCAATTCTATATCTGGGTCATTTTAATAATGAAAGAAGTAACGAAAGCACGGGTGTGATATCCTACACCTCCCTGCATGTTAAGCCAAAGTCATCCTGTAGTAAATGTACGTCTATATTAGAACACTGTCATACATGCCTGGTTTCCCATGTCTTAATATTTTCATAGAACCAAAACTAATGCAAATTAAAACGTTGCTGGATTTGATATTGCAATAGAGTGGGAAAATAGAGGATAGATGTTAATATTAAAAACACAATTATTGAGCAGTCTAGACGAGAACGATTTTAATAAACCAATAACCAAGTCAATCTTCAATTAATTGCAAGAAAGCAAATTTGTTAAAAAAAAACTTTAATTTTGTGTATAGAAAGGTGTCTTTAAAAAATAACATTCATTTTTCATTTCAATTTGGCACTTCCCGCAAATTTTTTCTACAGCTGTGACTTTTTATGACCTCTTCGATAAATGTAGAGACCAAATATATTTTATTCTGTATTACGAAAATCTACTTAACTAATATAATCATAAGTATAAACTGTCTTTTATCAGTGTATGCTTATTCTCTGGAGGAGGTTTAATGTGTCAACATTGTATAAAAAAGTTCAAACGTATCGTCTAAAAGCTTTTATAAGTTTAGTATAGACAAGACCCAAAAAAGTGCTGCTGAGTTCACATTTCCGCTGAGTTCACTTTCGGATTAGAATAACAATAAATCAGGGTGAACACCCATTATCTGAACCAAATGAAACATGATTTCTCTAATCTCCCGTTGTCCTCGTTGAAAATAATGTTCGAATGTGAGTCAAAAGATAACTCCATTAGTAAACATATACACTACATTATGTTCAAATTTACTAATTTCAGAAAAAGCGAAATACAGAACGCTTGCAAAAGAAACTAGACGGTTTTTTCATGAACTTGAATATTTCACTCGTTTTCATTTTATAATGAAAAATATAATATCAACGAATGTCATTCTAAGACATTCTGACAGAAGTACCATAGCCTCAGAGTTGCATTTTAGTACATCTATTTTGTTTACTTAGTTTAGTTGCTCATGGAGAATGCAAGTAATACTCAAGATATCGTTTTTCTTTCAAATTAAGATAATCTCGGTCATTTAGCACAACAAGAAGGAGAATTATACGTATGTTTTTTTTTTCTGTCAATCATGGAAATACAAATTCAATCACGTATTTATACATATATAAAGGGCATATTTACAAAGTATACTGTGACTTCTTAAATTCAAGGCTGACTTGGGTAAATATACAATTCATATTGTATTTTAAGAATGGATACTTTTCTGTAGAACAGTTGAAACCGATATATTTGAAATACCTACACTTTTCTCTCACGGAACCAATATTTTCAGCATGACCTTAATTTTTGACATCTATTGATTTCAATTTGAAAATAGGTAATTTATGATTATTTATTTTAGCATTTCTAATCAAAGACATTTGTGGATATCCATTGTTAAACTAATACTAATTCGACTTAAAATATAGTAAAGCACAATCTTAATTTAATTGAGATTTTTCATCTAATAAAGCAAATCAATTCGTTTTTATCATATAGCACTCGCTCGAATAGATTGCACACGCCAAGATTCATATTAATTTTCGTAGAATTGCGACTGAATGCAACCATGCGTTGTCTAAACACGTAAAGAAGTGCGCATAGGCTTTTTGCTGAGCTCGATTCTTGCTTGTCTACGTTGTAGGCATTCCATTCGTATCACAGCTTTTCGCAGAAGCTTGGTTTCTGGAGAAAGTTCTCTGCCGCTGGAAGCTGTAGTTCTTGTTCTTGGTCGAAATTCTTCCGTAGGATCTTCGGGTTCCACAAACAATTTTTGTTTCCTCGCACTTAACACAGTCCGTTTGGGAGTTAATTCTTTCCCAGCTTCCGCAGAGGGGTCAATCTTTGTTACATCGCCTTTCTTTGGCGTGGACGGACTTTGCTTAGTTGAACTGCATGAAGAAAAAAAGAGCTGATCGTCGTCCAGCGTTTGGGTTTTCTTAATTCGTGAATGACAATGGCGTTGGGGCTCCAAATATGGCGTTGAACTTATAAACAAACTATCCATTAATGAATCTAAAGCAGTGTGATAAAATCCACTAGCCTCTAGATGTTCACAGACAGACATTTTTGCTTTATTTGTATTTCAACTATTGCGGATTGCAGACGCGGATACGTTGATCTTTACTTGACAAACGTTATAAAGCAACTGGCTATGTTAGTGCTTTAATCTACTGCATTTCTCTGTACCTACTGTCAAGATGGTTTTTATTTAAAAATAAAAGTAATTCTGGGAATAAATACAAAGTTTAAAATGTAATATGCTCTACGCTCCTTAGATGCGTCCGCTCTCGGTCAATGCTCAACGACGACTAACTCATAAACTCATTTTGATAGTTGACAATTCGGCCTCTCCTGACTCTTCGTCCCTCCTGGGCGAACCATCATCAGACTCATCTTTATCTTCGATTTCGAGACTTGGATCACCATAGCACCAGGGCTTCATATGATCGGTCGACATAACACCGCAATATTTCCTTTGCTTCAAACTTAAATCCGGCAGATCCTCTACCAGATAACGATCGTTTCCGATAATTTTCGTGACGATGTATGGTCCTTTATACCGCGCATCCAACTTATGCGATTCTCCTGTAGGCTGCGGTACCGTGTCTATCACCACCAAATCGCCTTCCTTGTACTGAGTTGGCTTGGAATGACGGCTGTCAAATCTTGCTTTCCATTTTTCCTTTTGTTTCTGGATGTTAGCAACAGCCTGCTGTTGAATTACCCTAACATCGAAATTCTCTCTTTCTTCATCACCAACCGCCTGGATAATTCTATTGTAACTGACATCTCTGAGACTAAAGTTGAATATTAAGTCATTTGGACTGAACTTTGTAGTCGCATTCAGCTGCGAGTTAATACTCCACTGTATCGTCGTTGTCTCAGTGTCCCATTCTTTTGTATCACCTACTAGACATTTCAACGCATTCAAAACTGTCTGGTTGATCCGCTCGGCTTGGCCATTGGCTCTTGGTGTTCGGACTGCTGTTTGTACATGTTGTATTCCGTTGTATTCCACAAACTGTTGGAATTCTTTAGACGTGAACGCCGTTCCCTTATCCGATACAATTCTTCGTGGCTGTCCGAAAATCGACATAACTTCTCGCAGCGCTGTTATAACCGGAGCAGTCTTTGTATTCCTGGTTGGCTTTATAAACGCCGTGAATTTCTTGGATTCTTCCTTGACGTGTATCTGGTAATATCCTGATGTCATGTCTAACGTTGTAAAATACTTATTTCCAGATAACAACGAAAGTTGTTCTTCAACCACTGGCATCGAGTACTGCTTTTTGATGGTGACTTCATTTAATGCTCGATAATCCGTACACATACGACTTTCACCGTTCGCCTTTTTGACCAACAATACTGATGCTGCATAGGGCGAATCACTTGGGCGAATAATACAACATCGAAGCAACTTGTCAATTATGTCTGACAGAATTTGTCTTTGAGAAAATGGAACTTGGTATCTTTTACCAACTACAGGCTTGTCCGTAGATAAACTTATTTCCATTTGTGTATTTTTACACCTTCCAAGGTCTTCAAGGGTTTCAGCAAAACAGTCCTTGAACGACGACAGTATTTGGTCTAATTTTTCCTTTTGATGCTCATCCAGACTTTCTCCGACATTAAATGTACTTGGCATTGTTGACTTTACTTTCAAGACACCATGCTCAATTGTAAGTTTTGTTTGCTTCTTACACAATACATCTCTTCCTAAGAGAACGTCATATCGCATCAAGTCATTCGGCACTACATAAATGGTAGTCATTAAACTCTCCTCGTCGATGACAACGTTAGCCTCAAACATTTCCACCACTTCAACAATAGATCCACCAAAACCTTTCATTCTTTTTGACGTTACTTCCATATCGCAACCCTCTGGAACTACAGCTTTCCGCATTAAGGTAAAGTCGCTTCCAGTGTCCACAAAACCTTCATATGTCTTACCATTGACCGTGACATCTTTCATAACCGGTGGGCAGTAATCCTTAGACTCTTCTGTCATTGCTGCCACAGTTGTACCTTTACCTTTGCATTGCGATGCATCGTGACCAATCTTTGCACATTTACTACACTTCGGCTTCTTCAATGGTTGTGGGCAACTAGTTGAGATATGCCCAAACCTGTTACAATTGAAACATTTTACTCCCTTGGTTGGCGCTCCACCTGAGACACTTGCGGTTTTGTCATCCTCGTCATTCTTTGTTTGCTTCCTTGCATACGTTTGTATGGTCAAATTCTCCAACGACCTTAATAATTCACTACATGTCTGCGGGTTCATAGCTAAAAGTGTTCTTGTTAAGCTGCTATCATTGAGACCATTTATGATGTACGACAGTATTGATGCCTCATCTACGCTTCCTCTTTTCCCTATGGCCAACATTGCGTAATAATATTCCACCAAAGACTCATTCGAGTTTCGTTTCCTAGCTATAAGTTCACGATGAATGTCAGCAACACTTACTCGACTTGGGAAATCCTTTAAAAATTGTTGTCTGAACTCTTTCCATGTTTCAACCACTGGTAAAGCATCTATCCACATTTTAGCAACACCACTCATTTTATGATGAACTGCAAACAAAGTTGTTTCATCTGACCATCCATGAAGCCTTTGCAACGTTTCAACCTTGTCAATGAATTGGACTGATGTAACATTTCCTTTAATTGGATCGAAGTCTGGTATCATTACTATGTAATCCTTTAAACAACCAGATGTTCCGGAACCAGATTGTCTTGATATTACTTCAGCTGGAACTTGCTGTTCTGTATCCCTTGAATTTAACCCTGCATTTGACGTAATAGCCCTTTCTGTTGAAAGTGTTGTTAACTGTTGCACACTTCTTGCTAGAGTCAACATTATATCCTTTAGCTCTCGCATTTGACTTGTTAGAGAATCATCACCCGTCTCAGCTTCATCAAATCCATGGAAATCCTCCTGTGACTCTGAATCTTCAACTTCCACTTCGTCATTTCCATTGCAAGCCATGAGTCTAGCAATTTTCTCGGACTTATTTCCTGTTCGTGGTAAGCTTCTTGCCAGTAATAATTTGTCTAGCTCCGCAACCTTTAACGAACTTATTTTCACCTTCATACTTTTCCTTGTGAATTTTCCTTTTTAATTCGTTACTTCAGCAAATCTAGAACTATTCTTTTTTTTAGAAGCCGCACGCCCTAAAAATATACGTTAACTTTTCCCTTTTTAAACTTCTTCTTCGGGGTTCCCCTCTTTATGTCTTGCTTTCAATCTCCTTGATGTACTATCGTTGTCCTACTCACTCACACTTTTGAGTATACCTTTGTACATTCTCCTTTGATTGATGCTTTCTCCTTTGCTCTCTTTGAGCACGTTACACACTCTCACTAAACTCACTCGAACTTTTGAGTTTAGGTGCCTTTGCGTGGTTTCTCCTTTGGGTCGTCGTTGTTGCTTTGCATTGAGCTCTTCACTACTACATCACTTTGACGCCTTAGTTTCTCAGCTCTTTGAGTATTTTTCTGCAATTCTTATCCAAAATGATGAAATTCCTTGTAGATTTCTGTTCTTATCCCACTTCTGATTCTGTCAAGATGGTTTTTATTTAAAAATAAAAGTAATTCTGGGAATAAATACAAAGTTTAAAATGTAATATGCTCTACGCTCCTTAGATGCGTCCGCTCTCGGTCAATGCTCAACGACGACTAACTCATAAACTCATTTTGATAGTTGACACTACTTTGAGTAAAATATATCGAGGTACCTACCAGCATAGACACACAAATATTTCTTTTCATGATTTGGGTTCAACTTGAGTTTTCATCGAGAACAAAAGACAGGACTCTCAAGAACGATCCTAACACATGGTATATTCTTTTTAGGGGTTGTTTGCCAAATTAAAATACATGTATCCTTGCATTTATATGTGTGCGGCTGTATATGCCTTCCTACAAGTAGGTGTGTACATAAATCCTTCGCATCCTTCTCTCTTTCACTATAGGAATAGTTAACAAAGTGGATTACCTGATCACTTTGCTAGGTGCATCAGAAAAATAAAAGAAGTAGTTTTTCGCTGTAATTCCAATAATTGTTTTTTTTTTTTTTTTGTTATTGAAAACAATCAACTTCGGCGATAAGGCAAAAAATATTTCCACTGGTTTGGGAAGTACACAGCGATTAGATTATTTTATTTTTTTTTATTTCAAAATATTATTTATCATCCATACGACAATTACTCATAACACTTCTCAAATTTAACTAACTAATGAACGTAAATATGGAGCATGATTGCAGGCAAAACATACTGTTTTGTTTGTATATTTGTCGAATTGTGTGTACATTTTAAAAACACAAATGTTTTGTTCTTTTTTCCGGAAAGACTACTAATTTATTGGCTTGAAGAAATCTCTGAAGTTCTGAGGAGCTTGTTCGATTAGTTTCTCAGTCATTTGTTTGGCCTGGTCGGAACTGCCGTTATCCTTATGGTAGAAGACGGTGAAGTAAACAATTAATCCAATGACAATCAGCAGAACTATACCGGAACAAATGAAACCCATTAACATATTACATGCACATTCGCAACAGCTGGAAATTAGAAAATAGAAATCCACAAGGGAATTAGTGCCCGCATTCACTGATATTGACTTCAACATTCTTACCAGCATAGAACCTTTCCAGGACATTTGATTACCTCCCAACAAGCTTTGCACATTTTAAAATTTTCTGATTGATTATTTTTTCGTGAGTTACTTCTTTGCCAGTCTTCAATTCAGTTATAACTGACTGTCAATACACTTGTGGCCTTTTAATCCCCATTATCGGTATTGAAATACTGATAAAAGTTGGTTAACGCTTCTAACTGAGAGTGGGCCAAATGGGGGGAAAGCACCTATTGGAGGTAGCAGGAAACATCGACAAATAAAATTGTTGATTGGCTGGTATACCAACACTCATTTGCTTCTTATCGTAATTAGAACGTAGAGAACAGCGTTGTTTATATTTGCTAAAGAGAGTTTAAGAAATATATTTTTTTCAAAAAAGTGTATTGCCAATGAACCAAACGTCGCTCTCTGCTGCTGGAAATGATAATGGCCGCAGCGTTTCTACAATGAAGAAGATTCAAGCGTAGATACCTACATTTATTTTTACAATGTCCAATGACTAATATTTATATCAATGTTCATGTGCATGAATAACTCAGTACTGAGATAACAAATATAAATGGACAGGTTCACAGCTTCGTTAACTTAAATATCACAAATATCTGTGAGGAAAATGTATGCATTTAACACTTTATCTGTAGCCGCAACATCTGCCTAAATGGCCAAGTGACGTTTTTACCCTACACCATAATCTGGCAATGTAAAAAGTTATTTCAATGCTTTCCAAAAGTATTAATGCCCGATATTTGTTGTAACAAAATGGTACCTCGATAAACATGACTTATGAAGGGATTTTGGTTTCTTATATGTTTTTCTGGAACATAGACGACTTTCCTTATGGATGGACTCTTGTTTGTAAAGTGTCAGTATACATTGTTGATTAATTGTAGGGCAAAATCTATCCATCGACTATCTTGTATTCTCTACTCTTTATTGACTACATATTTTAGTTTGCTTTTTGTCTTGATCATCAGTATGAGTTTTTAAGTTTACAGACTACTACATTCATATTTATACATACATACATATATGTATGCATTTGCGAATTTGCAGAAATCCAATTATCTAGTGCAATTTGGTGACTTTGGTGACTTACCACGAAAACAGTCTTTAATTGTCTTCATAACAAAATGGTCTCATTATATGCAAATTTTGTATTCTGCTCTATTTGTTGTGTTAGCAATGCGTGGTTGTTGGCTCAGAGTGGCCTAAATGAATCGTATCGTATTCTGCATTTGTCGACCCACTTTGATCGCGTTTTTTTGAGTATAGAGGTAAAGAATAACAATTTTCCAACGCTTGTTGAAACGCAATGGCCCGACAAATTTTTGCCCTCTTTAAAACCCATTCTGTTCCCACATTTGGAAGCTCATGCCACTGCCGTTCGATCTGACTGTGGTCGTATACAACAGGCGGTGTGGTCACAGGTGGATTCGCTATCCCGACTCTGGGTAATGGATATTGGTGGGCGGGGTAACAATGGCACTAATAAGTACAGATGTAATCCAAAGCTATTGGTGTTCGATTTAATTCGCAACAATATTGAGGTAACATATCAACACATAAAATTATACTTCTAATATGGAAATACATATTTTGCTATATGGATTTTTCTTAAAGGTTTTGCGGATTGACTGTGGCAAATATTTGAGAACGGATGTTGATGGCTTCGAGTTACTAGACATTGGACTTGGTCCTCGAATATCACCCTGTGAAAATGAAAAATTTATTTACTTCATTGTTTCTAATGATTCTCATATACTAACTTACGACATCCTAGAGCAAAAATGGCACAATGTTTTGCTATCGAGCAAGAAATATTCTATTATAAATGATTTTTTACCTATCAAACCTAGGGATTTAACATTCGGCAGTCAGACCGAAATGTTGCTATCGGACGAGGATGGCAAGTTGTATACGGGACCGAATGTATTTCACAATTCCTCTCTATCAAATTCCGACACAGTAGAAATGGTTTCAATGGGCTCCTTATTGGGTCCTACTCGCGGCCTTATGATGGATTCCTATGGGGTGTTGTTTTACGTGGTCCCGAAATTCGGAGCTGTTGTTAGATGTAAATACACACAGAACATCACCGCGGAAAACGGCGAAATTATTTACATGACGTCCAAAAATATTCAGCAGATTTTCTTCGGTAGCGACGACTCTGTTTGGCTTTTGTCTGACAGATGGCTGCGACCCACGGATCAGTGCATATCCGGCTATTGAATAAGACTAGCATAAGTTTCTTCATATCATATCCATTTATTAATCATATGTCGTATTTCATTCAAATACAATCCATGCTAGTTAAGAAAACATAAATAAATATAAGTATATTAACAAAAAATTATTGAATATCCTGATGCGAAATTCAAAATATTAACTATTTAAGAAACTGCAGTTTTAAGATAAAAATTAAGTCCTACTGTCTACTCAAAGTACACAACGTTCTTCAAGTTCTCCATACTGTGTCTCCTTTACTTTTTTCGCATATGCAATAATACAATTAAAATAAAATTCGTTTTCATGGCGAATTATGTTGTAGAAAAGTACGAAACTATAATAAAAATTATGAAAACTAAGGTGCAGTTAGAAAACTTCAATGGTGAACAATTTGTTTATTTAGATAGCCCATTAAAGCCTGCAAGCGCTTTTTTATGTTCTTCTGGTCATCCAAAGTACATCCCAGCAGTACACTTTCGAATTTTTTGTCGACAGGACCGGCATCCATATCAGTAGCTGCGAACGACGACATGGTTCCAGTCTCGCTGGCACTGCAACAGGCATTCAAATACATCTGACACTTTTGGCGCGATAAGGCGGGATCGCCCAACGTAATCATCATATCAATGAGAGCGTTAATCTGGCTTAGCGAATCCTCCTGAGACTGGTCTCGTACTGTGCGAACATTAAGTTCTACTGTGGACAGACGTGCGTTGACACGTTGAATATAACACCCGATTTCTTCCCGCTCCGCTAAAAATAAAATATAAAAAGAATTGAAGTTTTAACAACAATTAAATTAAAAACTTCAAAATCTTTCCAATAAAAATGTCAATGATTCTAGTCGCTTCTGATATTTTTACACTTCTGTAAAGATATACGGCCCTTACATTGGGCCATGCATGACATTTGCAAAATTTTAGGCAGTATGAAAAAAGGGTGATTTTCACTTAGTACATGATGGCAGCGGTGCTGTTCTTACTACGAACATATTACACTTACATTCTGATAGGTTTTGCATCAAGTCATTGCTTTTAATTAGATCTATGGACATAAGCAAAAAGTCGCGTTTTTCCTGCAGACCCAAAGCGTCCTTCCGAAATTTCTCCACCCGGGAATCCAACTGATCCAATACCGTGACAAATCTAAAACAAAAACATGAAGTTAATACATTGCTTTACGGCACATTTATTGATGAAATTCAGTGTGTTTCAGTGAATAAAATATTTAGATTTACCTTTCATTTAAATTGAAAGGTCTGCCACACAAGTGTATGTCGTTCGTGCATATAATTTATAATGCGATGGAATATGGATATTTCGGACACAAAGTAAGGAACATAAAAAGAAAAAAAAAAAAAAAAACGAAATATTTGAATATTTTTTTTGCATCTTAGGTTAGGTATAAACAAGAATTAATTTTGAGTTCTTAACGTTTCCAAAAAGGTCATATTTTGTACGGCAAAACATTTAATAAAAATCTTCTATTCTAAATATGGAAAAACAAATTTATACAAGTATAGTAAAATTTCGTGGGTGTCGCTAGCGTTTCACGTTTCACTCATATTGCTTTGGAACTTAAAAGACATTGCATACAAAAAAAACTTGTTTCTGTTTTGTTCATATAGAACGAATAAAAAAAAACAACAGAATAATATTTGTACTTTGCAGTTGCTAGTTTGAAATAACTTTGGGATTATAACTCATTTAAAGTAACCACCTGTCAATCGCTTTGCTGTAGTCGACATGGCCACCACCATAATTGCTTGATGATGAGTTGCCAATGCCTGCAAAGTGGCGCGGCGATTCTATTTGGGCCGAAGACGAGGAGCCACTATTGCTGGCATCCATGGCTGTGTCGCCGTGCAAGCCGTGCAAATAGTCAAAGTTCATCGATGACTCGGACTGATAAGGCACGGAGGGATTATCACAATACTCCTGAGGTGGTGGTACAGGAGATGGATCAATTTCCATTTGTTGACTTCTTCTTTAAAACACGGAATAAACGTTTTAAGTTATATGACAAATGCTGTTAACACTTCTTGTTTCCGCTCTCAACGGCAACGTACTGTTGGCTTGTTTCACGTTATTGTTTGTTATGATAAACCAGAGATGAGTAGGCGGCCTCTTGTCCAGTGCCCAGTTTTACCTCTTATGCAGAGAACGGATTCAAAATATACTATGCTTCTCAATATCTTCCCATATACGGGAACCACGTAAACGAATTTTTGTCAGTGCGAACGGTATGCTCTCTCTTTTAATAATACTGTATTATTTTGTTACACTGAAAAGACCAGAAACAACAATAAATTAATATTAGTGTATCTTGCTGTTACCTATCGACGGCCATGCTCATGTCGCCAGCTGTGCCACTTCTGCTGTTGTTTATGTTCTGAGTGTTGGTAGTGGTCGAGGACGCATCATTGTCTCCGAATAAATGGTCCCAAATATTGTTTAAATTCGATGCGACATTTGCCCCAAAGCCATCTCTATTGGCACTGAGATTTTCGTCGAGACGTCGACGTTTTAACTTACTGAATATGTTATCAAACATCTCATTGCCAATCTAGAAGTTTTCGGAAATCAATATTTCGCCACTAAATGTCATACAACACTTGACTTTGGAATTATTTTATAGTTCCAAACGATATTAACACGTCCAAAATATATTGAATCAACGGGGTGATGTACTGTTCGTTCTAGAATGAAATAACTTTGCACGCACTTTCTCGAAACATAAACAAAGCAAGCAAAGCACACAGAGACGTCACCGTGGGATGAGACAAATTTGCGGAATACACACATACATATTGCAAAGTTTGTTTTGTTATTTCTCTTACCGTAAGCGATTTTCTTCGCATTTGCCAGAATGACAGAAATGGAATTTCAAATAATTACTCAACAATTTTATTGTAGAATGTTTTTGAAAATTGACTTCTTTATTTTGAATAATTCAGCGGTAGTATTCTATTTTCCTTAATAAGTGTCGACAAATGAAAAGTTTTTCCATATTCTCTATATCTCTCGGAGATATGTCAATTCTCCTGTGTCGGTCGACCTATGTATCCCAATTGCTACTTGATTAGGTAGAGTACATACTACCAATCATGATGACACATGGTGACACAGTATGACGCTCAGTATCGATAAAGCTGTCCCCTTGTGGTTGTTGAGTTATCGATAATATTTAAGGCGTAGAATGGCACAACGCCTTGATTCTGCTATAGCCTTTAACTAGCTTTACTATTGAAAAGTAAGGGAAAACAAGTTAATTTTCCTTGTATGGTTTCTGCTTGATTACAAAATATAAAAATGTAGACACTTCGACATGAAAACACCCCTAAAATAGAATGGAACTAAGTTATAACTTGGGTGGTTTTTAAATGCATTTAAAGCCTTAGTTGTAATGATTTATAGCTTATTGCGGGCAGGAAATTAACCGATCTCAACGTGATCTTACAACATGGACAATTCGACAGATAAACTAATTCAAGTGAGTTGTAACTAAAACTCCACGGTAGAATTATTAGACGATAGAAGCAAAACTACAACAAATAAAATTCAATTGTAAAGTCCATTTAGAACGTGGAAGAAATACACCATTTTCAGTGTGCTGTTTCAATATTTTGTCTTCCGTATCGACGAACAGAAACATATACTTACGTTTACTTATTCCTTCGTAAGTTATTCCTTTGTCATTTGGTCTAATGAAAAATGCACCCAATTGAAATTTCTTTGCTGTAAAATATGGAATTACTTCAATTGCACTTTATTTTATATTTTATGTGTGTGTATATACATATATATATATATACTTGTATATGAATGTATGTATATTTAGGCCTTTTTCATTTACATCATTTTAACTTTTATTTATTATGTATACTCGTCGTGTGTGCAAAATGCATTTCATTTTTAGCATGTTTTCTTCTCTTTTGATAAAATGTTTATTTTCGTATATATGTATGTAAAATGGTAATCATAGATAAAAATAAATATATGTGTTTGCATGCATACATAGATAGATATATGTATATATGCGCTTTACATTAAAGTAATATTAAAAAATTTTTATAAAAAATATTGCGCCTCGTTTTGCAGAAAACAAGAAAAATAAACGTGTCTACTTGCAATTATTAAAATAGGTAAATAGATTAAGATAAATTTCATCTAAAAATGTTTAAATTGCACATAGGGGTTTTTATAAACAAACAAATAATTCAAATGGAGAAACAAAAAAAAAAATAATAATAATAATAAAACAAAAATATCAAGCATATCATTTAACTAAACTATTCACAATGTAATTCATTTGATTTAGGATGTGGTCTGACCATATTACAAAATAAGACGGAAGATTGAGAGGGTTGGTCGGTCCAGTAGGCACATGTATTATAGCACATGAACCCATAAACCCATAAACATATACGTTTCATTAAATTTGCTAAAGCAATACAAAAATATTAAAAATTTAATATAAATTCTTCTAAATTCAAAAACAAAACATGACTTAAAACAATGACTTCGGTTAAGCTGAAACTAAAAGCAAATGCACATTTCAGGCATGCATCCAATGGACACCAATGGAAGCATTTGTCGATGAATGTAATAAAGATTTGCTCCTCAACACCTAATTTTAACAATGCTAGACGGGGAAAAACAATATCATTGTTGTCGATTACAATGGGCAACTATAATTTGACTAAAACATTTTTCGATTCTTTCAATTAAAATTAATAAATTCTTAGGTTATTCTAATCAATATGTCACGGCTTACATAGTATCATTTAAACATAGACTTTAAGAATAGAGAGAAAGGTACACACATATATACTTAAAAGTATGTAGTACAAAATATAGAAGACAGCATTCATTAGAAAAGAACACTTCACTTATTCCTAAAATGTGTGTTAGGGGCTGGGCAATCCTCTGAGACGTGAAAACAATTGTAAAGACTCAAATTCAGACAGAATCAAAATAAATTCCAATAATAATATTACAATTTTCTATCAACAAATAATAATAAAGCTTTTAAGCCTCAAAGGCATGATTACTCTTCGAGTCATATATCTAGAAACTCCAACAATAATGTGATCTTGTAAGATGGCCTTGGCCAAGGCTTTACGAATTGTGAGCAGTCTCAAAAGGATCTCTTTAAAACACATGACCGGTTGTGAATTACAAAGATAACACTATTAAGTAAAAGGCATTATAATTATGTACAAAGTAATCTAAAGTAAACATATTACAAAGTGGCTCGGACAAGACTTCTTCTTTCATTGACATAATCTGCATAAATATTTACATATTTAGACGTATAGGGGGAATGTAGGTGGGAAAGCCATACAGAGCTTGTACCGTCTTTGATCAATTTTTTCGAAATACAAATATGTACACCATCGCGTAAATACTACAAGGTAACAGCATCATTTTCTGCTTGAAAAGAGAAAAAGATTCATGCAATGCTGTGAAAATACTCCTCGTGCATCGTTTCTTTCCACACCTGCATTGACCCTGTAGTAGTCATGCCATGGCATACTATACGAATCTGATGCATGGATGTTGATGAGAAAGCTCTTATCCCTTAGTGTACAAACAACTAATTTCTTTCTTCCTAAGTAACGAAAAACGTAATTATTAAACGCAAAAGAAGAACATTATTAAAACATAACGTCATTTCTCTTCCAAGATTAGACAAAGTAAAACCAAGGACTTCCTGTGTGGAACTATGTGCTCGACTTGTTATCTGGACTTAATTTCTAGACATGGTAATTGGCATATAGCGAGGCAGTTAGCTATTCTTTAACACTCATCGTAGGAGCTCATCCGAAAGACTATAATAAATTAATTCAGTAGGTGCAACAAACTAATTAATTAAATTATAATAATAAATTATAGGGGACGTTTGGGAGTCGAAAGCTAGGTTGTAACTCGGTTTCTAAAAAATAAAAGTAGGAATGTTGTCAGAGCAATGCTGTTGTTGTGTATAGCAGACGTGGGCGGGTGAGGATGTTGCCAAGTTTGTTTTCACTTATGTTTTATGCGATTCGCTCTTTGTTGCAAGTCTTTAAGACTTTTTGAGGTTATGTTTGTTTACTATAGCCTGCAGTTTGTGCAATTGACTTAGAAGGCCGGCATTCGAATCTTCCAGTGATTTGACACGTTTTTTGTAGTCGGTATTTTCGTTCACGAGAATCTCAACTTTGCGTTCTAGCTGATCCATATATTCTTTCTTTTTGCGCCTGCTCTCCTGAGCGGAAATCTGTAACAACATAGGGATATCATTTTGTTAAAATGAGACGAGTTTGGAATTCGATGTTGACCAAAACCTACCTTATTCTTTATTTTACGTCGAATTTTCTTCAAAGACTTTTCTTCGGCTTTGGTTAGTGGTAGTTTTTGTGGTATTGGATACCCTTCAGCCAACAGCGTGCGTTTTTCCTCTTCGGTTAACAAGAGAGTTCCTGTAGAACCCTTCTGCATGGAACGAATCACAAAGGTGAGAATATAAACAACTTGTATTAAATACAAATAAATCTTACCGGCTGTGAGCTTATTAATGGCGTGTGAATTGGCTGGCGGGTGGTGCCTCCGTTTGTGTGTCGACCCATGCTGACAGTGGAACTTGAGTTGGAGGTAGTGGACGAGGCAGAGCTGTTGTTGGTATTTCGTCGTATTGACGTGACAGTCAATATGCCACTTGTCGGCTGGCTAACTGAAGCCGCTGTCCTCGCAGTAGCTGATGAGGCGGGTGACTGAGGTGAAAGCATATGTTCAGGTGTGAGATTACCCTCGGATCCATCACTGGAGAGGGAAGAAGGTGGGGTCAAAGGAAGACCGTATGATTTGGCAATCGGAGGTGACGTTATAAACGTACCGCCATTGGAAGCAGCCGTTTCGGATTTGATGGTAAATTTAGGTATTATAACATTTTGTGCGGGACTGAGGATTATTTGCTGTGACTTGAGCAGGTTATGTGAAGACGGAGTCAGTTGTAAACATCCATCCTGAAAATACAAAAATTCGAAGTTATAACTTTGTACTCGACAGCCGTGTTCGTGAACACCAAAATCACCTTGTGCTCAAAAACGAGATCTGAATTTGTGAACGCAGCCATATTGGCCATTGTTAAGCTTAAAGTGCCACCATTTGTGTTGCTGCTGCTATTGGCTAAGTCGCTCGCCTCGGGGCTGCCGGGACAACTGGAATCGGGTGACATTGGCTCGTTTTTAATGCAAGACTCGTCGATCTCAATATCAGAGCATATATCAGGCGACTGACTGCCATCCCGCGATGACGTACTGGAGGCACAATCATTGTCCATGATTACGTTTAGCTCGTCTTGAGGTAGATATTGTGGTTGTTGTAGTTGCTGTGTGTGTAATTGTGTGGCGGGCTGTCTGACCATTACTTTGGAGTTATCTGAGGAGCAGGCAGTCAATGCATTACTCAGACTCTGGGCAGCGTCCAGATTTCGCAGGTTAAGTGTAATGGGAGCGCTAGCGGAAATCTTACATACATTGCCATACATACTCGACATATGGCTTATGGTGCTACCATGGGAGGACAATGTTGGATTTGACTGACTGCACAGACTTGCGCTCGATGTGGAAGCCGCAGATACCATAGGATTTAATGTCAATCCCCCGGTTCCGACATTGCTGCCCGAGAGCATTGCAGGGCTGGAGGTGATGCTCAAGCATTTTGGATCAATTGTTGCTGTACTGCTCAGACCTCTGACATTGGACGTGGCTGTTTTCAGTGAAATGGCCGGATAGCATTCGTCTTCCATATCTAAGAAGAAATAGCAAGAATTTACTCATAGTTCGTATATAGTTGTGGCTCGGCCACACAAAAATCAGAGGGCACTTCAACTACGAAAGAGCGTCTTCAATCCCTGTATATCTACAATTTAGAAAAATGGGACATATGTACTTGCGTACGTATACCAAGGACATAGCGCCAAAACATAACAAATCAATTAACCTGTGTGAATTGGGCCAGGTACTAGTGTGTACTTAGTGTGCGGCACATTTATTGTTTGTGTGCCCACATTGCGATTGGAAAATGTTTTTTCCTTTTTGTTTTTATTATTATTTTGAATATATTTTTTCAATTCAAACACGCGTCATCCTAGTTTCAGCACACTTGTGTTAATATTGAATTCATGCCGTATTTACTTAGCCGTTAACAGTTTCTGTTTCCAGTATTGTTCCAAACAATCCCAATTGGGTATTTTGAATAATTTTTTTTTTTTAAATAAATGAACGACAGAACCATTGTTCAAGGAAAGTCAGTAACAACACTTAAGCCGTTGTGCCAGCCGAAGGAGGCATGAAAAGTGGAACTTATTGTTTGTTTTATTTGGCGGCCTTTACTCTCTTTGTGCGACGCTTGAAATATGGTTTGAAAACACTTGCTGATCGCTGCAAACTTACCATCCATTTTCGCTTGGAGACTGTGCGGCGAATCGGGCAATGAATCGCCATCGCTATTTAGGCTGTACGAATGTTCAGATTTGATCGGCAGCGTTCCATTAAGCAGGGCGTCAGATATTAGCTTGTCGTTGAGTATGACGGCGGCATCTTTAACATCTCGCTCCAGGAACCAATCATTCATGTCGCTGTCGGTGGACAATTTCAAAGAGTCCGTCTAGAATTGAGAACAGATGACAGTTTATCAATACCTATTGCCTGTGTGATATTATTATTATATGTGTCTACATGCATTTATGTGTGTTATATCAATGTACATATTATGTATTCACACGATGGATACAAAAGGTACATATGACATTTAATTGAAAATATGTCATTCATATTCACGCAAGCGCATCTTATCTAGAAACTATTTATTTCATTGTAATTAATTGAAGTGCTCTACTCTGAAGAATTTTAGATAGAATTCTACGAAAATAAATATGTATGTACATGCATCTGTGGCATTGAAGAAGCTTTCAAAATCGTTTCCTTTAAAGCTGACATTGATATTTGTACGAAAATGTTTTGTTTTTATGTACATCTCTGTATCTGTATTCAATTTTATTGTTTTTTTTTGCCGCATTGCCGCTCTGAATGTACATACATTCATACATAGTATTGGAGGAACAGCCAGCAGTCTGTTTCTTCATATCTTATCTAAAACAAAGTGGTTGGAGTTTACTTGGTACCAGTGGGTCCCACCATCATTTGCACCTTCAGAGGGAAAATGCGAGTAAAATGTGTCAGTATAGTTGAAGACAATCTAAACTGTTTCACTAAACTATTTTTTTACATTAGACAAGTGAGAAAGCTATGTGGGTACAACCTTGCAGAGACGATCGGTATCGTCAACACCAAGGGCTCTACACTTTATGGGTATTCTATGTGTAATTATTTCTTGACATTGAAAGAGGGCGGTATGAGATAAGATCCGTGTGATAGGCATGTCGACCACTAAGATTGTCCGCCCTGTATCATGAAGAATATTTTAAGACCCAATAGTGGGTCTTAATTTTTGCTTCAACTGGGACAATTTAGTAAAACCAAACTTTGATTACTGCCTTGTTCTTCATGGTATTAACGAATCGATCGTATTCAAGGAAAATAAATGCAAATATATTTTCATATAATTTAATTCAGTCCCCAATTTATCTTCAATCCATTTGTTTTGTTTGATATTTATTTATTGATTATTTTTAAATATTCTACTTTTTGTTTTGGTGACTTTTCGTTTTTTTTTGTTTTTTGTTATGATAGGAAAGCATTTGAAGTGGTTCTTTTTATTTTATCTGTGATTGAATTATCTTTAGGAAATTTTGAAACTTTCGAGTTTGAGTATTTGGAGGCATGAATATATATTCGGGTGGGTTTCTTCATATTCTTATGTTCTCTATATTTTCGATCAAAATTGGGTTCCTATTGCGAATTTTGTTCATTTTGAACTGTGTGTGTGTTTCTTCTTTACGCAATCCACCCTAATGTGGAGCCAAAGATAGGCGAAGGCGCACGACACTTCTACAAAAATCGTATGTTCTCACAATTGATTAACTTATGGCAGTCTTAGATAGCTGGTGGTTTTTGTTGTTATGTTATTTTCGGACATGATAAAAAAAAATGTAGCAAGTTGTGATTGCATAATTGGATCCATACTGTATGTACATATATCACAGATTATGCCTATCACTGACACACCAAATCAAATCCACAGATTAGAGTTATCAATTTGTGATATATACCTTTTATTTTTTATTTATACTTATTTAATTCTTTTTGATTATTAATATATGAAATAAAATCTCATCACAAGTGCGAGAGAAGTACTTCTTGGAGGTTATTGGTAAGAATTAGCTTGGACTTGAAGGACAAATTCCAACTGACTGTAAGCCAATGGTTTGATATTGAATGTTTATGATTTCCAAATATATTCATTCTCAATTCGACTTTTTCAAAAACAAAAAATTGCCCTAACAATAATTAAATTTCTTTTAACATATTATTTGAGTGGAGTGAGTGATAAATTTGTTTGTATCTAATTGTTATTGTTGGTGGAGGTGGTGGTTTTTAAAGTAATTATTATAATTTGTTAAAAAACAATGTCAATTTTTTGCTGACAGCTAGATCGTGACTGCAAATGTATATAGCTTCGTTAATGTAGATTGTTTTATTTTTGTAATTTATTGGAAATGTGTTCGACTTGAAGTCATTACCGATAGCAGTGCTGAAAGCCCATTGTAATTTAAAATCGTTTTCAGCGAGATCCGACAAATTTGATTTTCATACTCTATATTATCAACATGTGCGTGTGAGTGTGCATATATCCATCCATAAAATTGTGAACCATGCTAAACCTAAAATAGTTTTATATCTACGGAATGATGATGGGTGACTTAATGGAAACCAATGGTAGCGCAATGAACCTAAAGACATACAAAAATCGTGAAACTCAGTTCACTTAATAATAGTTACATATGTATCAGATTAAAAAAAAAAACAGTAAATAAGCCGAGAATCAAAAAAGCTGCAACAAAGCTTCTTTGTCTCTCCTGAAGAGTATACAAATAAAAATGCAAATTTGAAACATTTACATACATAATTTCGTTCGGACCTACTGACACCCTGTACATTTGTGTTATTCCAAACAAATAGCTGCTTTCGACCACTAATGACACAACCAAAACAAACCGCAAGAAGGTATTTGGTAAAAGCGTCTTAAACATGGCTACCCATGATGAGAGGCTCACAGTGCTCTTCGAGACCAGTGGTCAGTCACACTTTCCCTCCTTCCTTTTAGGTACATACGCACATCTCTCATTTATACGTGCTCTCGAGTCGCGAAGAAAGGTGGGTATAAACAATTCTAACCAAATATTTACAAATACTTGTCCAACAGAATGAATACATAAATAAATAAATAACTGTAAATATTTCTGTTTGTGTGCAGTGCCACTATCTCACACACATACACATGCATACGTCGGTACAAATCGACTCCATAAATGAATGGCGAAAAAGAAATGCGTAATGCTTCTGGCATTTCAAAGCGAGACTTACCGAGTGTGCATACATAGGTGTGTGTGTGCGGGTATTTGTTATGTTTGCGCGTGCGTATGTATGGTCGAAGCTTCGCACATGAAGAATCGCAGTAAACAGCTCTTCGGCTTGAGTTTATCGACAATAGGCTGTCTGAACAACACGACCATGGCAAAGAAAGAAGAACTTGTTCATTGAGCAACTAACCAAGTATAAATGAGCAGCCAGCCAAACAACAGTCCGTCTGTCTAACCACTTTCCTAACATCTTCTCATTATGGAGATATGTATGCATGTATGTATGTATGCATATATGTACGTTACGATGACCAAAGATCGGCAATCTAACTGGCGTAATAAATGCCAATGCAAACAACATTAAAAGACATCACAACAGGAACTATGCATACATATGTATGTATGTATGTATGTACGTTTTGCACATTACATCCACATACACATTAGATTTGAGCGTATTTTTAACAAGAAACCCAGAATTAGAACGAAAATTACTCGAAACCAAATTTTTATCACTTGACGTAAATAAACCAAAAACAACATTAAACGCTTTTTTTGTTGCATTTTTACTTTCCATTTTACCCAGTTATTTCTCAAAGTGTACAAAGCCAGCCTTGCGAACAGAACTCTCTTGTGTTTTGAAAGCAGCGAAGCGTGAAACAACCTCTCTAACAGTTCAACAACCTTTCTCCGTGTTGAAATGTTGTTAAGAACTGCCAATTCTTGTAAGACGGGAGGTAAGCCAACAAAAATGCGAACGATGAAAGCATGAAATTTAAAAATAGGGTCGTTTGTTAAAGTGAAGTGGGTATAAAACAAAAGGCAGAGGCGTTGTTTCGGACGAAGAACCTCAACAGAATTGGGGAAAGGTACTAAGAACCGGGCTGAGCACAGTGATATTTCGAGAAAGCTGGTCGAGCCGAAGCATGAGTATGCTGAGCACACATTCTGTGCTGATTTGTGTGAGGCGACAGAAAGAACGCAGACTCAAGAAATGCTAACTCATATTAATGACCATGAAAGAAGTATTGTTCACACACACACACACACACACACGCAGGCATGCCGCTGACACTAATTCTGGTTCTAGCTTTCTGCTTTCAGATTCTTTCGACGTCGGTGACTGAAAGTCATTTATTTTTAAGTCTGACGCACTACTTTTGTCGTTTCACGAAGAAAGTTAACTGATCGTTTGGCTTTATATTAATTCGCTTCGGTTACATTAGACCGGCTTACGCAATACGTAGCGGATATTTAGGCCACTAAAATATGTTGGCCAAGTACATGAAAGGCAAAAAGTAATCTAAAATACGAAATGTGAGTACTTCGACGAGTATATACACATGTGGGCGAGATTATAAAAAAAAACTCCCTACCGCACTGCTACTGCTGCAGATATTGCAACCATATTGTGACTCTTAGGATGCGTTACCTATTTCTTTAATATGGGACTTGTTTTTTCGATTTAAATTGTTTATTTCAAAAAGCAAAAGGCATTTGAACACATTCCTGGAACGGATCGTTCAAGTGCCACACAATAGGTATAATTAACTGAAAACAAAACTTAATCTGAATACAAGATGATTTGTGGTTTCTGTGTAAGACCCTTTGCCTAAAAATGGGGGACTGCACGTGGTTGTGCTTTTTTTTTGGTTTCAGAGAAATCGGAGCAAGAATTGTTAAATTTTGAATTGATTCATTTTCACACAATTGCTGTGTAATGTTGTATTGTTTTTGTTATAGCAAAGCGTGATCCGGTTTAATGGACCTAAATACCGAAAACAACAGGTATGTACATACATACATATATACATACATCCAGATTTGTATATCAACAGGTAAAACCAATGTATCCAAATTTCATTAATTTCACAATCATCAAATGAACAAAACCCGTTTTTGGCTTTTGTCGAATTTGAACTAATTTTCAATGATCGTTAACTTTATTTGTCTTGCTAACCCCCCCTCAAGAGGCTCTGAAAGGCATACTTTGTTTCTTTCATCGACACTACGAACGACCGAGTGATATAAGTATCCCTGAAATTATGAGTTTCGGAGTGTCTGTTGTATCTTTGTACTTATGTTTCGGATTGTTTTAGACTGGTTTCTGATTTTTTTTTTTTGC